GTTTCCGGGGGGGGGGGGGGGGGGGCAGGGGTGCCGCGGGGGGCAGGGAGGTGGGCCCGCCAGGCACCCGGCCCTGCAGGGAGGTGGAGCCGAGGTTCTCGCGTGCATTGTCCCCGGCAGGGAGCCATGTTTCCTCCTCCCCGGCACTCCCAGATGGCGACCGGGGCCGCAGGGTCTAAGACCAAAACCCCGCGGTCCAGAGTTCTGCGGGAGCCCGGTGAGGGGAAGGAGCTCCCGCCGGAGCACGCGTGGCCCCTGGCCGCGTCCCGCGGCGCGGCAGAAGGCAGCGGGAGGAGAGAAGGCCTCGGGGACGGCTGCTTTCCGCACCTCCCACCGCTTTTGGCTGGAGTGGAAAGGGAAACCGCGCCCAACCCGGCCAGGCCTGCGGCGGGTAGGCCGCATGGGCCTCGGCTCCGGCCGCACACTCAGGCGCCAGGCAGTAGGCCAGGGCCCTCGACCTCAGAGACCTCGGGCGCCCCAGCCCGGCGCTCCGCCATCCCGACTCACCGTTGGCGCGCTTGAGGGCATTTTCCGGCCTCTGGAAGTAGGCCGGCATCTTGGCAGCAGGCTCAGTTCACCCGGCGTCAGCTAACTCCCTAGTGGCCCGAGCCGGGAGAAGGGACGAAGGGGAAGCGGCGCGAAATTCCACGCGCCTCGCCAGCAGTCGCCCGCGCCCAGCCGGCCAGCGACGGAAAGGAAGGAGCCACGTGATCCCCGCGCGGCGGCAGCGCCGCCGCCCAAGCCCCGGATGTAAGGGCGGGATTCAGCGCGAGGGCCGCCCTCCGGGCACGCAGGCGCGTTGGCGTCACGGCCGCCGGCTGACGTGGCGGCGGCAGCGTCTGGGCGCGCTGGGGGCGGGGCCAGGCTTAGTTGGGCCTGAAGTTCGGAAGGGAAGCTAGGGAGGTGTTTATTTAGGCTTTTACTCCTCCGGCGATAATCGGAGTGGGAAACTTTCTTTTAGTATCGGTGCTTCTGCCAGTAAGCAAGGCTAGTCTCTGAACAGATTCACTTTCAACAGGATTTGTGCGAAGGCATGCCAGGTTGGAATGAGAGCCTATCTGGCGAAAGAATGAAATGATGAATTTATTTGACAGAAACATTGAACAAGTGGAGTTAGACCAGTACTGTAGACAGCTGGGAAATACTGGCGACCTGTCCTGAAAACGGAGTAGCTCAGAAAATGAGTGAGAGGGCCAGGGAGATCAGGTAAGCGCAAGGGCCTGAGTTCAATCCCTGTTTCCGCAAAATAAATAAGCTAGAAGAAAATGAGTGAGACCAAAGCAAGCTGACCTAGGACAAAAGCCCTGCAGCAGAAAGCATAGCCTTTGCATACCGCACTTGTCACAAATACAGGAGCAGTGAAGGCTAGAGCGAAAAATTTACAATAGACCCTGTCTTTTATGGCTTATTTAACAATTTTAATGCTCACAAATTGATAGCTATGCCTAAAACTTGAAAACCATTTAAACTGGATGAATTCTTCAACTCGTGATATTGTTAAAATGAATTTTCACTGAACATTCTGCAATAATAGATGGGATACGTGAATTAGTGAGGGGCTACTATATCAGTAAATGAGGAAACCAACCTAGACACATTAAAAGGGCCGGGGAGATGGCTCAGTGGAATAAGCGCTTCCCTGGCGAGAGCATGGGCCTGAGTTCAATCCCTGGTTCCGCCAAAAAAAAAATTAGGCAGTTCTTCCTCTACCATGCTTAGAGTATTTGGTATGCATGTAAGAGCTAGACATGGCTGATGTAAAAGCAACAATAAAAGCAATACAGACTTTTATGAGCAAGATCAAGGGCCCTGTTTGTGCTTGTTATAATTATGTCAAAATTAAAGAGCCAAGTAAAAGAGCAAATAGTTCTTTCATGTGCTGTAAACAAACATTTTTTAAAAAACCTAATGGAGTTAATTATTGAAACTGTCCTACCAATTTGGTTTGAAACTGTCTCATTGCTATTTGTTTCTCAATAAAATTATGGAAAAAAAAATTTTTAAAAAACCTAATGGACCATAGAAAATGTAAATAGAATAAAGTTAAAAAAAAAAAAAATAGGGGCTGGGGAGATGGCTCAGTGGAATAAGCACTTCCCTGGCAAGCTCAAAGATCTGAGTTCAATCCCTGGTTCCTAAAAAAAAAAAAAAAAAAAAAACAATCTGAAAATGCTTTCTGATGTTCTTAATTTTGTATTATCTATCTCAAAATTATCCATTATTTGGTAGGCCTACAATCTAGCAAACACTAGAAAATGGAGAAGTAAAATTAAATATCCCTATGTAGGGCCCAGGGAGATAGCTCAGCAGAATAAGCGCTTGCTTGGCAAGCGCCAGGGTCCTGAGTTCAATCCCCGGTGCCACAAAAATAAAACAAAAACACAAATATCCCTATGTGGAGGACCACCTGGGCAGCTCTCCTTGAAAGAAGAGCAATTACCTTCATTTTGACTAAGCCTGACTCTATTTCCTTCTACTGATATGTACAGAGCTGGCTAGGACTTCTCTTTATCCTTTCAATTGGCCTTAAGCAATGTATATTGGTCTAGCTGAGGTGCTGGTAGTAGTTTTTGAAGACAGCATGCATGTTTCCCTGATAACCTATACCTGCTGCTCTCCATTATGAGCCAGGTCGAGACAGGACGAAGAGCCAGTGCTTCATGTTGTCTGTTGAGATCAAGCCTTGAGGTAGAGGCTATGACTTCCTGGGGCTTGAAAGATTACACATCAGAGCTGAAACACCAGACCCTCAAAACATTAGATACTATCTCAATAGCATAATGCAAATTATTCCTTCTGCATATAACAGAGGTAAATGCAGACCACCCACCTAGCCCAGCTCTCAGTAGTCACCTACTTCCCACAATTCTCTTCCTCAAGCCACTCCTCCTTTTCTACTAATAAACCCCGAGTGTGACTCTGGGTTGCTCTCTTTGTTCTGGAAAACCATCTTCCTGGCTGGACTTAGGGCCCTTGGCTTGTCTTTGTTTTTGCCATGGGTTGCACTGAGAGTGGTAGATTGGAATTAACTTGTTGACTTGGTGGGATTCCAATAGTATTTTTGGGATTATAAGTATAGACTTCTTGGGCTGGACGAGGACCAGGAGGGGACTCCTACATCCCTACACATTGATCCTTTTCCCTTTCAAATGGTTTAAAGTAAAGAATACAGTCAGTAATAGTTTTAAAATGCTTTAAATAAAAGTACTGTCTTTAGACTGAATTAGCAAAAGCAATTCTGGGCAACAAAGGCAAAGTAGGGGGCATCACAATCCTTAACTTGAAATTGTACTACCAAGCTACTGTGATAAAAACAGCATGGTGCTGGCAATAAAACAGACTGGAGGTCCAGGGAGATGGCTCAGTAGTATAAGCACTTCCCTGGCAAGGCAAGTACAAGGGCCTGAGTTCAATCCCCGGTTCCAGGGGAAAAAAAAAAAAAAAAAAAAAGACTGGAAGATCAGTAGAACAGATTAGAAGATGCAGAAACAACTCCAGACATACTTGGCCACCTTATCCCTGACAAAGGAGCCAAACATTGTCACTGAAAGGAAGCCTCTTTACTAGGTGAAGCTGGGAAAACTGGCTTCCCACGTGCCAAAGATTAAACCTAGACCCATATCTTTCATCATGCATTAAACTAAAGTAGAAGTATATCAAACATCTAACTATTAAAACAGAATCACTAAATCTGTATAGCTTTTGAAGACATTGGTGTAGGCAAAGGATTTATGAAAAGAAAAATAACAATTACACAGAAACGATCACAAAGAATCAGCAACTGAGATCTCATCTTATTAAAAAGTTTTTTCAGGACCGGGGAGATAGCTCAGTAGAATAAGCGCTTCCCTGGCAAGCACAAGGCCCTGAGTTCAATCCCTGGTTCTGCAAAAAAAATTATAATAAAATAAAATAAAAATTGGGGGCTGGTGAGATGGCTCAGTGGTCTAAAGCACCTACTTAGAACAAGCTTAGCAAAGCACAGGGACCACGGTTCAATCCCCCAGCACCACATGCCAGCCAGCCCCGCCCACAGGTGGGCTGAACTGGCCACGCGCACACACACACACACACACACACACACACATAAATAAATAAAAATTTTTAAAAAATAAAATAAATAAAAATAAAAAGTTTTTTCACAACAAGAAAAACCACCAGGGGCTGGTGAGATGGCTCAGTGGTCTAAAGCACCTACTTAGAACAAGTTTAGCAAAGCACAGGGACCGCGGTTCAATCCCCCAGCACCACATGCCAGCCGGCCCGCCCCCTGGTGGGCTGAGCTGGCCACACACACACATACACACACACACACATAAAAAAATAAAATTAAAAAAAAAAAAACTTAAAAAAAAAAGAAAAACCACCAATGGGGGGGCCAGGGAGATGTCTCAGTGGAATAAGTGCTTGCCTGGCAAGCCCAGGGGCCTGAGTTCAATCCCCACTTCCGAAAAAAAAAAAAAAGTTTTATAAGTAAGGAAGGGCAGAAGTGTTGATAGGAGAGGAGAGGAACAGGAGAAAACGAGAAGCAAGACATGCACAGGTGCACATGCCATATGGTGAACGTTATCACTGCATAGATCTCAAACGTGCCAATGCAGTTTTAAAAGTACTGTATTTAGAGTCTGAGGCCAGGCCCACTAGCTCATACCTGTAGTCTAAGCCATGTAGAAGGCCGAGATGGAGAAGCCCATGACCACAGGAGCTCCAGGCAGTCTGGGCAATGTACAAGACTCCCATGTCTAAATAAATAATAGTTTAATATTGTTTTTTTGTGAATGAGTAAAGCATAATGTCAATTTTCAGGATAAATTTATCTATTACATTCAATCAACAGATGTTTGATGCCAGCTAATAGTCAATAATATTGAATGTTGGAGATAAAAGAATACAAGGTACCTTCATTCGAGGAGTTAATGATTCCCTGGTAAGAATAGATGAGTACACAGCGAGGCTTAACATTAGACCTTTGTTGTTGTTGTTGTTCCTGTTGTTCCAGGGATTATACTTGGGACCTTGTGCTTCCCAGGCAGACACTTAGGCTGCTGAGCTATCTCCCTGCCCATGGGACTTAATTGAAATAGGAGAAAAGCATAATTACTTGCCAAAGGTGCTTAATTACTAAGAATAGGCAACTTGAAAATTACACTGTATTTCCCAAAACATAACACCGAGTGTTTTTTGTTTTTTGTTTTTTTGCGGAAGCAGGGATTGAACTCAGCCCCTTGCACTTGCCAGGCAAGCGCTTATTCTACTAAGCTATCTCCCCAGCCCCTAACACCAAGTCTTGTACTAATTTTTGTTGCAACAGTTTTTTTAGGGGATGTTGTATTTTTCTTCACATAGAGAAATCTACATTTATTCATATACAAGAAACTACATTGGGCTGGGGAGATGGCTCAGTGGAATAAGCGCTTCCCTGGCAAGCGGAAGGGCCTGAGTTCAATCCCCGGTTCCGCAAAAAAAAAAAAAAAAAAAAAAAAAGGTGAAAGAAGATACATTTATTCAAATATGGTCACATCATTTTCTTCTGGAACGTCATCATAACTCTCCAAAACCATAAATTCCAACCTGAATTTCTTGTGACTCCATCTCCTTAGAACCACTGGCCCCAATCTCTCTTTTCTAGTAGTAGAGCTCTCCTCAAATGAGCCGGGCTTGTCCACGTAGCTTGCTTGTAGTGAGTTGGTGCCATGTCCTGAACAGCTCTGGAAGT